ACGCAGACATACACATAAACACATACAAAAAAACCCACATACATACACACACACATACATACACACAAACACATACACACACATACATACACACATGCATACAGACACACAGACATACACAAACATATACACACATACACATGACCCGGCTTCGCCCGGGACTTGGATCCACCACGCCCGGCCGCCTTTGTCTCCCCAGTGCCGATGTTAATACGCCACACCAGTTACTCGTTTGAGGCTGAGTCGACCTAGGGGAGGTTCAAATAATCGTCACCGGTGGTGGCCGTGAGCGGGAATCGAACTCGGTTCGCCGGGTTGGTAGCGCAGCGTAGCGTTAAGCACTACACCCACCGCTCCTCACACACCACACACGCACAGACACACACACAGACACACACACAGACACACGCAGACACACACAGACAGACACAGACAGACACACACACACAGACACACAGACAGCACGCTAAGCACTACACTACCGCTCCCCACACACCACACACAGACACACACACAGACACACACACACAGACACACACACACAGACACAGACAGCACGTTAAGCACTACACTACCGTTCCCCCTACACAACACACGCGCGCGCGTCCATAGGTACACATACACGCGCTTGCTGCAGACACACACGACTTTCAGGGTGCGTACGGCAGTAAACGACTGAAATAATAAAGCGGCAATGCTGCGCGAGGAACGCCTTAGACCTGCAACACATTTGTGTAATGCGAGCGTAAACACACAAACACATACACACACATACATACACACACATACACACAAACACATACACACACATACACACACATACACACACACAGACATACACATACACACAAACACACACATACATACACACAAACACATACACAATACACACAGACATACATGCAGACACACAGAGACACACATAACACACATACATACACACACATACATACACAGAAACACATACACACACATACATACACACACATACATACACACAAACACATACACACACGTACATACACACATACATACAGACACACAGACATAGACATAAACACATACAAAAAAACCCACATACATACACACACAGACATACACACAAACACATACACACACATACATACACACATACATACACAGAAACAAACACATACACACAAACACACACATACATACACACAAACACATACACAATACACACACACATACATGCAGACACACAGACACACACATAACACACATACATACACACGCATACATACACAGAAACACATACACACACATACATACACACACACATATATGCACACAAACACATGCACACACGTACATACACACATACATACAGACACGCAGACATACACATAAAGACATACAAAAAAACCGACATACATACAAACACACATACACACAAACACATACACACACATACATAGAGACACACAGACATACACATACACACATACACATGACCCGGCTTCGCCCGGGACTTGGATCCACGATGGCCGGCCGCCTTTGTCTCCCCAGTGACGATGTTCACACACGACAGCAGTTACGCGTTTGAGGCTGAGTCGACCTAGGGGAGGCCCAGGTCCGTTTCAAATAATCGTCAGCGGTGGTAGGCGTGAGTTGGAATGGAACTGGGGTCGCTCAACCAGCTTAATGACTATTTGTACAAAGAACATATAAAGAATCGATTATAATAACCAGGCTACAGTCCACATTATATACTGGCAGTACACGCACTCAGCTTCATAAGCAGGCTAGAGTGTACATGATAGAGTGGCAGTACGCTCACCGAGTTTAATAAGCAGGCTACAGTCTACATGATAGACTGGCAGTACGCTGACCCAGCTTAATGACTATTTGTACAGTGAACATTTAAGTAATCGATTGTTGGCGCGTTGGGTTTAAAAGTAATATAAATTGCACACATTGTGGTGGGGGTGGAGTGAAGAGTAGGAAAAACTTTGATGAATTTACCTCAGAGTGGCGTGGTGGGTGTCGAGGCCTAGCACCGTGCAGAGCCTCCCGCCTCGCCTGATTTTCCCACCCGGCTGACGCTGGGTACGGGTGCCGGTCCCCCCCCCCCCCCCCCCCCCCCCCCCCTAGCGCTCGAACAATACTGAGTAATGGCTATTATTTAATTATTTACGAAGCCTATGAAAGTGGCGAAGGCGTGGCTAGCCGTTGGCAGGGGTGAACCGCCGTCCAATGAAACTGCAGCCCTTGGCGAAGGCGTCGCTAGCCGTTGCCAGGTCCAATGAAAGCGGCGAAGGCGTCGCTAGCCGTTGCCAGGGGCAACCGCCGTCCAATGAAAGTGCGTATGGTCCGAAATCCACACACACACACAGACAGACAGACATTCACAATTTTATTTATATATAGATTAAAAGTTCAATAATTTTAAATTAAATATTTGTTTTCATTCATGTTTTATTTCTACGTGACTTTACCAAAAGAACCAAAGAATATAATAAATTTCGTCGTTAAACCCGACGACGCGTGACAAACCTTACTCGTTGCACGTGTCGGGTGGTGGCGGGTTTAACGACGCATTTATATTCACGCGACCTCATCAAAAACCACCCGTGTCACGAATACACGCCGACTCGAATATTCTTGAGTAAGTCCACGTGTCTTTGCGTATGCACCTTGCCTGGCACAAGCGCCAGAGTGACGTCGGCGGTTGTTTGTTGTTGTTTTTTGTTGTTGTCTAACTTCTGGGTAGATTCTCCCTCCGCCATAGGAATGTGGAATTTCCACCACTGGCTCAGGGCTGTACACGGGATACGGAAACCCATGGCTCGTTGAGCAGGTTGCTTGTGGACACGCGGTTGGGGGGAGCGGTGGCGCAGTGGTTAGCGCACTGCGCTACGAATTCGGCGATCCGGGTTCGATGTCCGCTCACGGCCACCACCAGTCACGATGATCTGAACGGCTCCTGGGCTTCCCCTAGGTCGACTCAGCCTCAACATGAGTACCTGGTGCGGTGTGTAATCATCGCCGCTCGGGAGACAAAGGCAGCCGGGCGTGGTGCTGGCCACCCACCCCCTCGTGTGCCGTTGCGGCCTTCATAGGTGCTCGCTAACAGCACTTGCCCCGACAGTCTGATGGGAGGCTATACGGGGACCCTTTGTCTTTGTACACGGACGTTCCATAGCCATGTGTTGTGAACAAAACAGACCCGACCCTGGCCATTGCGGTAAATTCCAGACCCCCTTCTCCGCCTTGTTTACCCCCGATCCCCCCTTTAGCCCCCCCCTCATCTCGTCTTCCTTACCCCACCCCTCCCCCACTTCCATACCAATCCCCCCCCATCCCCCCTCCCCTCTTATCCCCCACTCCTTTGCCTCTCTACTCTTGCCCCCACCACTACCCCCCTCTGTGCCCCCAAGCAATGCCCCCTCCCCCCACCCATGCCCTCTCTGCCTCGTGCCCCCCCCACTCCCCCGCCCCCCTGCCTCGGGCATGGTGCTAATCAATCAATGCCATGCACGGTCAATTAGAAATCCGCGGAAGCACGAACTGAGCCGGTTCACCGCGGAATGTTCACGAAACATTCGTTGGCGTGACGCTGCGTCGTCGATTAATCGTCGATTCCCTACGCCGAAGCTCACGCACAGCAGCGCGCGCGCGTGCACAATAATCGATGTATTTCTGTACGTAGCCGTTGTGCGCAACGTGATTGATCGGCGTGACTCACCGCAGCCACTAGCGGCCGCTACATTCACCGCAGTTAAATCGGAACAACGCGAAACAGTGGCCGGGCGATGGCAGTACTGTACAGAAATAGCATTTTTTTATCCATCTGTGCGGAGTTTTTAAGCGTGAACCCCTTTTTCGCGTTTTGCGTATCGGGGTTTTCTCCGGGTACTCCTCCCACGCGACTACTAAAAACCTAAAAACGCCCACGAATGCAATCCATGGCCAAACATCCCAGGGGGTAGCAGCACCCTCCTGCGAGCGCGCCTCGAGACTCATCGAGGCTCTGCTGCGCGCGCTACCGCAATCATCCGTCACAATAACTTTATTGGCATTCGTAAACAACTTTTGTTGTTGGGGGGTTGTTTTGTAAACGAACTTAGCTTTCACACGCAGGCTTTCACGACCAATATCATCCATAGTACAGGTTTTTTTGGGGGGAGTTAGATCGCGTAAAAATATAAATGAGTCGTTAATTGGCCAGTAATTACTGGCGAAAGGTCGTACTCAGATTGTAAATGTTGTAGCTTGGCTCTCCAACACACAACCGCTGTTGCTGTACTAATGACGAATTGGCACGTTCTGTTCACGTGACAAACCTTACTAATCGGCTGTGTCGGGTGGTGGCGGGTTTCAGCGACACATTTATATATTTACGAGATCTAACCCAAAGAAACCCTGTATTCTAAACTTAATGTAGGTTACATTTTGATTTAAAGTTTTCGTGACTGCAGGGATTCATATTCTTGGTTCTTTCGGTAAAGTCACGTAGAAGGCAAACAATAAAATAAAAATAATTAAAACCGACACTTTTTCAATTGTTCTTGCTGTGGATTTCGCACCTGATGATGATTGCTTGTGTTGCAGTCGAAACGTCGTGAGAATTGTATTATTTCCCTTCTACGTGACTTTACCGAAAGAACCAAGAATATTAATGTAGGTTGTTTACAACGACAACAACAAACACCGTGACATGTTTTCCCCTTGCCCAAGCGAGAAGAACAAACGCACGCCGGCTGACGTTTACGTTGGACATTAAACATGATGCCCGTCAATCCGGTGCCTTCTTTTGGATTTGTAGCAACGTGCGCGAGAGTGATGGTAGCGGTGGTGGGGATGATCGCAGCCCATTCGTCCATCGATCATCCATCGGTGGTCAGTCCATCGTGGGGTGATCGTGATGCTGTCAAAATGAAATGTAAATTTAAAAACCATCATCGAGCGGCGGAGGTCGTCGGACTAACGGAGGAGCGACCTCTCCTGCGGACCCCTTCCCCCACCTCGCCCTGCAGGCGGTCGCGGCCTCCTCGACTCGAGCCCCTTCCTGTCGGACGCGAACGCGGAGCGGATCGTCAAGACGCTGTGCAAGGTGCGCGGCGCGGCTCTCAAGCTCGGACAGATGCTCAGCATCCAGGGTGAGTTGGGGGGGGGGTCACGTGGTGTTCAAGCAGTGAGCAGGTCAGCTACTTCATCAATCTCGCCACCGCGTGGCGCCACGGTGGCTAGGAGATGTTGACTACCTCGCCTGGTACGCAGGAGGTCGTTGGTTCAATCCCGACCCTGACGCCTACTGCTGCTGTATATTTGGAGTTTGCGGTGTCTCTATCTCCTCGTGCTAGCGTGGATTTTTCACCGGGTCCTCAGGTTTTTCCCTCAACATTTAGAATCAACGGCACGTGTTTAGAGGAGTTTGGCCGCTATAAATTTCCACCTGATGAGAAGCCACTTGGTTTATCGTTGGTGATAGTCTGGTCGCTTATGAAAAAGAGCTATACAACTCAGTGGGCCTCCTTACCTGGTAAAATAAAAATATATAGTTTTAGTTTAGTTTTGATTGGAATTAAAACAAACAGGCGTTATATCGTTGCCCCCTGCCGTTCGGGGGGGTCCCCTAGGCTAAAATATAAAACAATATAGATTATTATTTATTTCCACTTGCTTATCCAGGAAAGCCTCGCTGAGGCTCATGACTCTTTTTCAGGAGGGTCCTGCCAGGTTTCCGCAGTAGGCGAGGCTGCGATGTTGCCACAATCCCTCATGCCGCCTCTTTGTTTGTGTTTACCCACAATCCCTCATGCCGCCTCTTTGTTTTTTACCCACAATCCCTCATGCCGCCTCTTTGTTTTTTACCCACAATCCCTCATGCCGCCTCTTTGTTTGTGTTTACCCACAATCCCTCATGCCGCCTCTTTGTTTTTTACCCACAATGCCTCATGCCGCTCCTTTGCTTTGTTTTTACCCACAATCCCTCATGCCGCCTCTTTGTTTGTGTTTACCCACAATCCCTCATGCCGCCTCTTTGTTTGTGTTTACCCACAATCCCTCATGCCGCCTCTATGTTTGTGTTTACCCACAATCCCTCATGCCGCCTCTATGTTTGTGTTTACCCACAATCCCTCATGCCGCCTCTATGTTTGTGTTTACCCACAATCCCTCATGCCGCCTCTATGTTTGTGTTTACCCACAATCCCTCATGCCGCCTCTATGTTTGTGTTTACCCACAATCCCTCATGCCGCCTCTTTGTTTTTTACCCACAATCCCTCATTCCGCTCCTTTGCTTTGTTTTTACCCACAATCCCCCTTGCCGCCTCTATGTTTGTGTTTACCCACAATCCCTCATGCCGCTCCTTTTCTATGTTTTTACCCACAATCCCCCTTGCCGCCCTCGCTAGACGACAGCTTCATCAACCCGCAGGTGCAGAAGATTTTCGAGCGGGTCCGCCAGAGCGCCGACTTCATGCCCACGTGGCAGATGAAGGTGCGAGACGCCCGGCAGCGGCTCCTGTCCGCTCCACTCCTAGACGCGTGCCGGTCAACCTGCCGGTCTAAAACTAAACGACTTTTATTTACTTTTACCACGTAAGGCCCACTGAGCTGCATAGCTCTTTTTCAAAAGCAGCCTGGCCACAAATGTATGTTTGTTGAGCTCCTTTCGCACCGTACGTAGCCAACCGCGATAAGGTGCGGTTGGCTACGAAAGGCAGTTTTGTGTTTAGTTTGTTTTCCTTGTCGCGTGAAAGATTTCGCAAATGCTTGCAAACGTGACTTTTTACGTAAATACATAAAGTATGTAGATGTTATGTGAGTGGACGTCAACCCACGTAGCCACAGTGCTAATACTCTAAATGCGTGATGTTGATTCTAAATGCGGAGGGGAAAAACCGGAAGACCCGGAAGAAAATTCCACGTTGACACGGGAAGAAAGACATGCAAACACCAAATATACAGCAGGCATCGTCAGGGTCAGGATTGAACCCACGACCTCCTGTATACCAGGCGAGGGAGATAACATCTCCTAGCTACCGTGGTGCCCTAGTCCATCAACGAGTCAGCCGGTTGATCCATCGGCGGTCAGTCGATCTGTCTGTTAGTCATCTGTTAGTCATGCGATCGATCTGTCTCTGAAGAGCGATCTGAGTTGAAGAGTGTCTTCAGTCAATCATTCAGTCAGTCAATGAGTCAATAGTCATTCAGTCAAGCGTTCAGTTGTAGCATTAGTCAGTCAGCCACTCAGTCGACCATTCAGTTGGTCAGGAAACATATCAAGTCATCCAATCAATCAGTCAATTACTCATTCACTTAAATATTGAGTCAACCAGTTGGGTCAGTCGCCCAATAAATCAATCACTGGGTCGCTTGGCCAGTCAGCCAACCAACCTGCCATTCTATGATTCATTCAGTGAATCAATCGGTGAGTCAAATATTTGTGCGTCCAGCGCTTGTATACGAGCCCCCGGCACCAGACTCACGTGACCTCCAATCGTTAGAACTCTTGTATCTGACCTCCACTCTCTGACCTGTGAGCCTCGTGTGTTGGATAGTAGTAGCGCAATGGAAATGTACATACGTTGAATTTCTTTCGCACCGTACGTAGCTGTAGCTACTACATGTGTAGCTACTACATGTGTAGCTACTACACGTTTAGCTACTACACGTGTAGCTACTTTTGCTACGAGGATAAATCCGGCCACTGTGGTGTTTGGGCGGTCGCGGACATCTCCCGGTGCGGGCGACGGTGACCGTCGGCCCCTGTCCCCGCGTGTCCCGCAGAAGGTGCTGAGCGCCGAGCTGGGCGAGTGCTGGCGGGACGGCCTCGCCGAGTTCAACGAGCGGCCCTTCGCGGCCGCCTCCATCGGCCAGGTGCACCTCGCCCGGCTCCACGACGGCCGCCAGGTGGCCATGAAGGTCCAGGTGAGAGGGACTCCCCCCCCCACTCCCGCCCCCCCCCCCGCGCGGAGGGGTGGGAGGTGCGGGGGCAGGGGGTGAGGGATCAATTCTCAGCACTGACAACACCGCCGCCACCGCGGCGCTCGTGCCAGGCTAGGTGCACTTGCTCCCACCACCGCATGACGGTGGTGCAAAAATTTATGGTTTAGTGGACCTAGGGGTGGGCCACCATACACACGTGCGCACAGTACAACGCACCACGCGTACACACTACACATGTACACTCCAAGAGGCTTTATTTTCCTGATGCCACAATTGCTCCAGATTACGATCCCGCTGATGATGATGATTCTGCTGACGATGATATGATTATGCCACTGGTGATGCTGCTGATAATGCTGCTGCTGATGCTGATGATGCTGCTGATGATGCTACTGCTGATGATTCTCATGATGCTGCTGATAATGCTGCTGCTGATGCGGATGCTGATGATGATGCTCATCATGTTGCTGATCATGCTGCTGCTGATGCTGATGATGATGATGCTCATCATGTTGCTGATGCTGCTGCTGATGCTGATGATGCTGCTGCTGATGATGCTGCTGCTGATGATTCTCATGCTGCTGATGATGCTGATGATGATGCTGCTGATGATGATGCTCATGATGCTGCTGATGATGATGCTGCTGCTGATGATTATCATGCTGCTGCTGATGCTGATGATGCTGCTGCTCTTGTTGCAGTACCCCGGAGTGGCCCAGAGCATCGAGAGCGATGTGGAGAACCTGATGATGGTGCTCAGCGTGAGCAAGCTGCTCCCCGAGGGTGCGTGCCTCCACAGAGACCGGGGTCAGGGTCAGAGACCAGGGGTCAGGGTCAGAGATCAGGGGTCAGGGTCAGAGACCAGGGGTCAGAGACCAGGGGTCAGGGTCAGAGACCAGGGGTCAGGGTCATAGACCGGAGGTCAGGGTCAGAGACCGGGGGTCAGGGTCAGAGACCAGGGGTCAGGGTCATAAACCGGGGGTCAGGGTCAGAGACCGGGGGTCAGGGCCAGAGACCGGGGGTCAGAGTCAGAGACCAGGGGTCAGGGTCAGAGACCAGGGGTCAGGGTCAGAGACCAGGGGTCAGGGTCATGTGAACGTCTTGGTGACTGGTCTATGCGTTGGTGGGTGCATGTGTCCGTATTACTGTGTCCATATGCCTGTTCGTGTACGTGTGTGTGTGTGCATGTGGGGAGTGGTGGCGCAGTGGTTAGCGCATTGCGCTCCGAGCCCCACGACTGGAGTTCGATTCCTACTCACGACCAATAATCGTGGCGAATATCTGAACTGGTCCTGGGCATCCCCTAGGTCGACTCATCATTAATTGAGTACCTATTGCGGTGTGTAAACATCACCACTGGGGAGACAAAGGCGGCCGGGCACGGTGTTTGCCACCCCCAACTCCCTCACGGCGCTGATCGCTAGCAGCACTTGCCCCAAGAGTCCGTCGAGGCTATATAGGGGGGATCTTTGTCTTCGTGGCGCAGGGCTGTTTGCGGAGAATGTGGTGGAGGTGCTGGGCCGGGAGCTCGCGTGGGAGTGCGACTACGAGCGCGAGGCCGCGTGCACGCGTCGCTTCCGGTGAGACGCGCACACGCAACGAGCGCACGCACGGAGTGTGTCCGTGTCTTCGTGTCTCCGTGACTCACTCCGTGTTCCCGTGTCTCCGTGTCCCTATGTCTCCGTGACTCACTCCGTGTCTCCGTGACTCACTCCGTGTTCCCGTGTCTCCGTGACTCACTCCGTGTTCCTATGTCTCCGTGACTCACTCCGTGTCTCCGTGTCTCAGTGACTCACGCCGTGTCTCCGTGTCTCCGTGACTCACTCCGTGTTCCCGTGTCTCCGTGTCCCTGTGTCTCCGTGACTCACTCCGTGTCCCTGTGTCTGCGTGACTCACGCCGTGTCTCCGTGTCTCCGTGACTCACTCCGTGTCCCTGTGTCTGCGTGACTCACGCCGTGTCCCTGTGTCTCCGTGACTCACGCCGTGTCTCCGTGTCTCCGTGACTCACTCCGTGTCCCTGTGTCTCCGTGACTCACTCCGTGTCCCTGTGTCTGCGTGACTCACGCCGTGTCTCCGTGTCTCCGTGACTCACTCCGTGTCCCTGTGTCTGCGTGACTCACTCCGTGTCCCTGTGTCTCCGTGACTCACTCCGTGTCTCCGTGTCTCCGTGACTCACTCCGTGTCCCTGTGTCTGCGTGACTCACGCCGTGTCCCTGCGTCTCCGTGACTCACGCCGTGTCTCCGTGTCTCCGTGACTCACTCCGTGTCCCTGTGTCTCCGTGACTCACTCCGTGTCCCTGTGTCTCCGTGACTCACTCCGTGTCCCTGTGTCTCCGTGACTCACTCCGTGTCCCTGTGTCTCCGTGACTCACTCCGTGTCCCTGTGTCTGCGTGACTCACGCCGTGTCTCCGTGTCTCCGTGACTCACTCCGTGTCCCTGTGTCTCCGTGACTCACTCCGTGTCCCTGTGTCTCCGTGACTCACTCCGTGTCCCTGTGTCTCCGTGACTCACTCCGTGTCCCTGTGTCTCCGTGACTCACTCCGTGTCCCTGTGTCTGCGTGACTCACGCCGTGTCTCCGTGTCTCCGTGACTCACGCCGTGTCTCCGTGTCTCCGTGACTCACTCCGTGTCCCTGTGTCTGCGTGACTCAGGCCGTGTCTCCGTGTCTCCGTGACTCACGCCGTGTCTCCGTGTCTCCGTGACTCACTCCGTGTCCCTGTGTCTGCGTGACTCACGCCGTGTCCCCGTGTCCCCCGTGTCCCTCGTGTCCCTGTGCAGGACCCTGCTGCTGGAGGAGGAGGCGCTGTTCGTGCCGCGCGTGGTGGACGAGCTGAGCAGCGCCAGGGTGCTCACCACGGAGCTCGTGCCCGGCCTGCCGCTCGACCACACCGAGTCGCTCGACCAGGAGACGCGCAACTGGGTACGGGGTCACGGGGTCACCCGGGGCCGCCAAGCGCAGTGCAGTTTTTCAATGAACGAGTGGAGAACGCTCCGCGCTTTTTCTTTGCGGTTGTTGCGGTGACGCCGTTATGCTTGGGTGTGTGTGTGTTGACGTGTGTATGTGTATTGGGACGTGTGTGTGTGTGTGTTCCTGTATATGGGGATCTGTGGCTCACTGGTAAGCGTGCTGTGCTACGAACCCGGTGACCTGAGTTCGATTCCCGCTCACGATCAACAGCAGCGACAATTATCTTAAGCGGTTCTAAGCCTCCCCTACGTGGACCCAGCCTCAAATGGGTAGCTGGTGCGATGTGTAAATATTTCTACTGGGAAGACAAAGGCGGTTGGGCGTGGTGCTGGCCACCCACCCTCTCGTGTGCAGTGCCGGCCATCGCAGGCGCTTGCTAACAGCACTTGTCCCTACAGCCTGTTAAGGCTATACAGGGGATCTTTGTCTTTGTGTGTGTTTGTGTATTCACATGTTTGTATGTATATATGTTCATGTGTGTGTGTTAGCGAGCGTTACCAATTTGCTGATGATGGAATATCAATTTAAAGTTTTCGTGACTGCAGGGATTCATCTTGTTGGTTCTTTCGGTAAAGTCACGTAGAAGGGAAGTAATACAATAATAAAAACAAAACATAATAAATTAATTCTTACGACGTTTCGGACGGCTGCTGGTGTTGTGGCCGAAACGTCGTGAGAATGAATTTTATTATGTTTTATTTTTGTTATTTTATTATTTCCCTTCTACGTGACTTTACCGAAAGAACCAAGAAGATGGAATATCACTTACGCATTCTGCAAACGGGTCCACGCGTAATACCTACGGTTCTCCACCGTGCCAGAGCCTTAACAGGTCGAGCGTGCCGTGTGTCTCTCCCGCTGTGCAGATCTCCCTGCACATCATGCGCCTGTGCCTGCGAGAGCTCTTCGAGTTCCGCTTCATGCAGACCGACCCCAACTGGTCCAACTTCATCTACGACCCCGAGACCCGCAGAGTGAGTCACGGAGGGGGGGGGGGGGGCATGTCCCAGGTGCCGGGTCCCAGAGTGAGTCACGGGGGGGGGCCCACGTCCAAGGTCATAAGGTGCCAGCTCCCAAACCCTGTGTGCTATATTCTAGATCCCAGGACACAGGTGCCAAATCCCAGATCCCAGGTGTCACATTGCAAATCCCAAATTCCAGGCCCCAGATCCTCAGTGTCATAATCTAGATCCCAGGTCACAGGTCCCAGATGTCATCTTGCACATCCCAGATATCAGATTCCAGGTGCCAGATGTCACATTGCAGATCATCCCAGATACCAGATTCCAGGTGTGATATTCAAGATTATTTCAGATCCTAGGTCCCAGATCCCAGGTGCCAAATTCCAGAAACCCAGTTTCCCAAATCCCCACGGTCTCAAATCCCAGGTTTTGATCCCAGATCTCACTCATCCTAGGTCCCAGATCCCAGGTGCCAGATTCCAGGTCTCAGAGCTCATATCTTGAGTCCCAGGATGGGTGGCAGGGTGGGAGGATGGGTGGGAAAGTGCCACCGCCTACTCTGTCGATCGAGGAAACTCGGAGGTAGCTCTGCAACATCCGCTTCTGCCGGCGCCTTCTCTAACACGGGGCGATGCGCGGCCCCTGCGAGATTCCCGAACCGTGCCACTCACTCACCAGAGGTCGCAAACGGGTTTTGATTCCTTACTCGTACTCGTACCCGGCCGCACAAGGGTCGCAAACGTACCCTACCCGATACCCGGCCGGGTATGGGTAGGGTACGGGTATCGGGTACCCGACTGCGACCTCTGGGATGAAGCCATGTTGCAGGCGCGGGTGGGTTGATTCTAGGAACTTGAATTGTGAGAAGAGACAAGACATTGGGAAATGAGTGACAAACGGTTACTCACCAGTGACTCACGGTCTACCCGTACCCGTACCCGGCCGCACCAGGGTCACAAACGCGTACCCGTACCCAGCCGGGTACGGGTAGCCGGGTATCGGGTAGGGTACGGGTATCGGGTACCCGATTGTGACCTCTGTCACTCACTGACGCCACACGCGGCACAGCATGCGGGGCAAGGCGACTGCCACGGCACGCTGGCTCGCGGAGGGCGCCACCTCGTGGCGGGCTCTTGGGATGCGTGCGCCTCTGTGCGTGTCTCGATTCCCACACAGCCAACATCGGCGATGAATATTCGAAACGGTCCTGGGCTATTCCTCGAGGTCGACTCGGCCTTAAAACGAGTTCCTTGAAGCGCCATGTAAACATCGCCACCGGGGAGACAAAGGCTGCCGGGCGTGGTGCTGGCCGCACCGCCCCCTCCGGCGCAGTTCCGGCCTTCGTAGGAGCTCGCTCACAGCGCTTGCCCCAGAAGACGATCGTGGCGGGGGGCGGGGGGGGGGCATGTTTGTCATTGTGTGCGCGTTGCGTTGCGCGTGCTCAGGTGGGGCTGCTGGATTTCGGAGCGAGCCGTGACTACGAGAAGCGATTCATCGACCACTTCCTCGAGGTGAGCGGCAGTGGCGGCAGTGGTGGCGGTGGTGGCGGTGGTGGCAGTGGCGGCGGTGGTGGCGGTGGTGGCAGTGGTGGCGGTGGTGGCGGTGGCGGGGGAGGACCTCCGTCTGTGAACCGTCGTGCGGCAAAACCCCCGGGGCGAGGGGGGGGGGCAGGGGGGGGGGGCACGGGGGTCCGGCTATCGGGAGCATCTCTCCAGCACTTTGCACGCGGCAAGCGACCCACATCGCATCTCAACACGTTTGAAAGGGGCACCCCCCGTGGCAGCTGTCCCTGTGCGACACGAGTTGACTCAGAACCTTGCCGGGTGCCGGTCAGTCTGGCAGCAGGGGGAGATGATTGCTGCGTTGTGGTCTAGCAGGCGGTGCGTAGGCCTCGTAGCAGTAGTAGTCACAGTAGTAGTATATTCACGGCCAATACACCCACCGCAGTATTGACCAGGGCGGCCTGCTGGATTGCGACCGCGAACCTCGCCGTGCGAGCTGCCTCACCCCCCCCGTCGCTCCCACCCCCACGCTCTACCCCCCCCCCTAGCTTGTGATGTCGGCATCATGCGGGGACAAGCGGCGCGTCGTGGAGGAGCTGCGGGAACTCAAGTTCCTCACGGGATACGAGACCAAGGTGAGCGTGCCGCCACTCACCCCGCCACTCACCCCGCCACTCACCCCGTGCCTCACCCTGCCACTCACCCCACCACGCACCCTGCCACTCACCCCGCCACTCACCCCGTGCCTCACCCTAACTCTCACCCATCCCAGGAGGGAAGCTGCCACCGTAATGGTCGGCGCACTGGAGTTGCAATTTGGTCGATTACAACTCCCACCAACCCTCACCCTCTCACCCTCTCACCCTCTCACCCTTTACCCGTCCTCTCTCACCCCGGCTCACCCCCCCCCCTCCCCGCACCAGCTGCTGGAGGACACGCACGTGGACGCGGTGATGATCATCGGGGAGGCCTTCTCGGGGGACGCCGCCTTCGACTTCGGCTCCCAGTCCACGACGCGCCGTGTCGTCGGCCTCATGCCCAGCGTCATGCGCCAGCGCCTGGCGCCCCCGCCCGAGGAGAGCTACTCGCTGCTGCGCAAGCTCTCCGGCTCATTCCTCATCTGTGCCAGGCTCGGTGCGCGCATCTCCTGCCGCCCGCTCTTCCTCGACGTCTACAACAAATATCGGGCGAGCGCGTGATCGCGCGCGTGGGCGGGCAGGCGGGATGGCCAGTGGGGGTGTGGGTGGATGGGTGGGAGGGCGAGATGGTGGACAAGTGAGCGGAGAAGATGATGTGCCGGCTGGTGGGTGGGCGAGAGAACAAGCTGGCGGATGAGCGAGCAAGTTGGAGCGTGGGCGAGTTTATAATCTGTTGGGCGAGCAAACGAACATATGGGTGGGTGGGTAGGCGAGCGAGCGAGCGGACAAGCAGGTGGACTGGCGAGTTGGTGAGCGGGCTAATGAGTCGGTGAGCGTGCACGGAGCGACGATCGACGGAGGCCATTAGCGGCTGCAGCTCGGACTGTGAACAGCGGTGGAGGAGACTTGAGTGTGGGTCTTTTGTTCCATTTGGGGTTTGGGTTTTACTTTTGCACGGGAAGTTCTCCGTGACCGGCGCTTGGGATGGACGGCGAGCGTGGGATGATTGCGAGCTTGGAGAGCGGCGAGCGAGCGGATTCACTGGGAAAACGATTCCCCTTTTGTGTTGTTTTTGGGGCCTTGCCGACGAACAGTGACTTTGGTTTTATCTGCGGTCGCCCCGTTGGCGGTTTTGTGATCTTCCTTCCGTTGTCTTGAACTCTGTCTCGTGGAGACTTTCGCGAACTCTGCGGGCCGCCGACCTTTGAACTTTCGCGGGTGCCGCCCCGTCTCTGAGAAGGCGTTTTCGACGTTGCAGAAGGGGTGGAAAAAAAATAATCGTCGCGAATGACGACAGCAAAACTCGACTTCTGAACCTTCCCTGATAAAAATGTCTTTTTTTTTGAGTTTCGAGTTTAACATCCGAGCCCTCGACGCAACGCGCGTTAGCGAGCGCCCACCAACGCGATCACGCCCAGCCGAAACCACAAAGGACGTTCTAGAAACGCATCCTCCACCAGGTGACGACGCCTACAAGACGGCGCCTGCACACGGAAGACCGCACGGCAAACTTTCACCTCTCACCGCTTTTGAGCTCCTAACCTTTACAGGAGGTCACTGGGGGGGGGGGGGGGGGCGGCTTTGAGGCACAAGCTCCCGTCGCTGGTGCTGAGCCGGCCGTTGAGTTGACCAGAGGCCCGCCTGCGTTGTTGGCGGAGATGGAAGTCTGCGACGTATTTTGCAGGGGCGCCGGAGTCGTGCAAAAAAAGGATTCCTATACCAAGTTTTCCGCTGAACTATTTTTGTTTGGCTAAATGTTTTTGGCAGAAACTGCCCCAAAATGAAGATGTTCTGTCCGTTTCTTTTTTTCTTGGTGGAAATCTCCAACGCAATTTACGCGTTTGAGTCTTTTTTTGTTTTGCTGCGGCAATCCGATTGCCGCCAATTTTACCGCCACCCCCCTCCACCAAAATCGGCGGAAGTCGCCGTTTGGCGGAATGCAGCGTGGCAGGATTCGCCCCCCGCCGTGAGCAATGGGGGGGGGGGGGGGGTGGAACCGCAGAGCGGCACGGAGCGGCGGTGAAACCGCAACCGCTAGCCGCTGCCTTCGCGACAAAAAAAGAAAAATACTAAATTGATATATTTTTCCAAAACGATTTGAAATCACGCCAATCGCCGCCGTTGCTGACGCGGCGTTTTTTGTTGTTTTGTCACGCGGCTGCCGTTTCACGCGAACGACTGCGTTGCAAAACGAGGTTGTAGACGGCGCTTATTCGTTATCGTTGCTGCTGCTGCATACAGTGATGATGACGACGAGGGTGGCAGTGATGTTTTGTTGTTGATGTTGATTTAAATTTGTGGTACCTTTTTTTTTTTAAACAACAAGTGTTAATTTCCATGCCCATGGGAGGGCGGCAGACGTGGGAGCGTTGTCACGGTGACACCGCTCCTGGTTTCTCACGTGAGTCCAGCAGCAGCAGTGAAGGCCCTGGGTGAGAGGGCGGAAAATCTGGTGAGCGGAGGCCCTGGGTGGGTGAGTGAAGGTCCTGGTGAGACAGTGAAGGCCCTGGATGAAAGTGAAGGCCCGGGTGAGTTAAGGCTCTGGGAGGGTGATTGAGTGACGCCCTAGTGGGTGGGTGAGAGAAGGCCATGGTGGGTGGGTGAGAGAAGGCCCTGGTGGGTGGGTGAAGGCCCTAGTGGATGAGTGACGGCCCTCGTGGGTGGGTGACTGAAATCCCTGGTGGGTGAAAGAAGGCCCTATTGGATGAGAGAAGACCCAAGTGGGTAGGAGAGTGAAGGCCCTAGTGGGTGTGTGAAGGCCTTGGTGGGTGGGTGAGAGAAGGCCCTGGTGGGTGGATGAAGGCCCTAGTGGATGAGTGACGGCCCTAGTGGGTGGGTGAGAGAAGGCCCTAGTGGGTGAAAGAAGGCCCTATTGGATGAGAGAAGACCCAAGTGGGTAGGAGAGTGAAGGCCCTAGTGGGTGGGTGAAGGCTCTGGTGAGAGAAGGCCCTAGTGGGTGAGAGAAGGCCCGAGTGGGTGGGTGAAGGGCCTGGTGGGTAAGAGAAGGCCCAAGTGGGTAGGCCGCACAGTACATTAATTGAGCAGTGGCGCTGCGCTGTGTGTGTTTACCCAAGTTGCAGTCAACACCAACGTAACATTCAAATGAAATTAATCAAGAACAAAAACATATATAATCATACCTCCCCCACCCCCCAAAAAAAAAACAACCTTGAGATAGTTAAGTTTTGTGCTCTTAGTAGTTTACTCTCAGTTTTATATTTGTATAATTTTGAAGTTTGTCGTCATGAATCATTGCGATCCCGATGGGCTTATCTACCTAACGAGTCGGTCTCGTCTCTCGGGATTTCGTGACGAGGTCACGTGGGCTACGTCACAGACCCCCCCCCCCCCCGATCCCTACGTCACAGACCGAGCCCCCCCCCCCCCCGACCCCTACGTCACAGACCGGCCCCCTCCCCGCCCACCGGGAAAAATTTACTGCCCCCCCACCATCACCATCCCTCCTCCCCCCAATTCGAGCCCGATTGTCATACAGGCTGCACCACGTGGGACGAGGCATCCGTTCGGAGCGCGTGCAGCTTTGCGGACACAGAACAAACGTGCACGTCGTGCCGACGTTTCGCGTCCGCGCGCTGGGAGCTTGGGGTTTGGTGGATCGACGCCTGAAAAAGGACCCGGCCCCGTGCGAGCAAAAACGTCGGACGTCGCATTCGAACAGGACGCGGTACAAACTCGGGTTGCCACCTCTGAGAAATGAAACAACAACACAAAACAGCGACATGTCACGGGGTACATGAATATATCACCGTACCAGTAGAGGTGGGAACTGTGAGTAACAAAAAACAAACCTTGCCGTGAGTGGTGCAGTACAGGAGTAGAATTTACACCATTGGAACCTCATTTGCCAGTAAAAATAAAAAAAAAAATTTACCCTTCTATCTGGCAACAAAACTGACACCTTCTTTGAGTTGTGCGCCTTTTGGCGTCATCTGGTCCAACCCATGTGAGACAAGGCTCTAAGGAAAGCTGTCTCGGGTGTGGACCAATCAACTTCAAGGACAGTGCACATTATCAGAGCTGTGTTTTTTGTTTGCATTATGACTGCAGGTATTGTGGTCTATGCAAACATGACTCCTTGTAAAAAGGTGTCAGTTTTGTTGCCAGATAGAAGGGTAAAAAACCAATTATCAGGAGTAAAATTATCACGCAATGGACAAACACCGGGACATGGAATCCGGGATTGCCCCGGAACCTGCACCAGTTGACGTCTCGTCCTGGACGACGAGGGCAATTGTGGCGAACACGAGGGGCAGGTGGCAAACCTTCGTGCGGGAATCTTGACGGCACGTGGAGCGGAACGTCGGACTATCGCATCCGAAGGAACAGCAGGCGGCAGCGGTGGGGGGCGACTCCACGGGCAGCGTGGTGCTTCTGTGCCGGCCTTGACGATGAATTTCGCGCGATGATGTCTTTCGCTCTCTCTCTCGAGGTTTTATTTGTTGATGCGGCGTATCGCGCTGTTGCGTGTTTGTTGTTAGTTTCTGTGAGCCCCCCTCCTCCCTCCCTCCCCCCTTGGCTGTGCTGGTTTCATGAGTTATTTGTCTACGCGTGGTAGAGGCTCAAATAAAAACGACGACAACAACACGTGTTCGGCAAGACTTGATGGAGGTCTTTGTTGTTGCGGCCGCTTGCAGCTCTGTACCCGTGGCGGTTCGGAATCAGAATAGTTGTTGACGCTGGACGAATCCGATGAGCTGTGAAGCTATTTTTCGCAGACGTCCAGTAAGTGGGCGCTCACCACATGGGAGTCGAGGACCTCTGGGACATATATATAACATTTATGGGAGCAAAGCGAGGAAGGAACGGGAGAGAAAAGAGAGAGGAATAATAATAATAAATATTTTAAAATACTTTTAAAAAACACGCTTTAATGAAATGTACCGTACTCGGAATGGAAGAACCCCACGACTCCAGGAAGTGGGCCCGCAGCTTGCCACAGCGAAAGGGGCCGTGGTGATCTACAGGCAAGGTGAGTTGAGCGTGGACAATTAGAGCCGTAAAAAACATTGTTTAAAAATGTATATATTTAATGATAGAATATAGTATTGTCATCGGTATGACACACCTATACCAAGTTTGCAGTCGGTACGACATTGGGAAGACGGTTGAAATTGAGTTCCAAGATTTGAGGCTACGACAACAGACAGAGTGAGTTAAATAAAAGCGTGTACAATGTTTCAAAAAAATATTTTTTTACATTTTTATGATAGAATATAGTCTTGTCATCAGTATGACATAAGTATACCAAGTTTGCAGTCGACAGCACATTGGGAAGTGGGTTAAAATTGAGTTACAACATTTTTGAAGGATACGACAACAGACGGAGTGAGTTAAATAAAAGTGTGTAATAATAAAAATAGCAGGAAGCGAGAGGCAATATTCGTGGTCAGGAGGAATGAGAGGGAGGAGGAGGAAGCGGCATTACACGGTCACCCCCCCCCCCCCGCCCGCCGCCCCCCTCACCAGGTTCCTAAACAAGTGCATTGTGTTCTTGGTTCTTTCGGTAAAGTCACGTAGAATGGAAATAATAAAATAATAAAAATAAAACATAATAAAAACAGAGTCTGTCTGTCTTCTCGACAGACCTGTTCTTCACCTGAGGACGGCTGCTTGCGTTGTGGCCGAAACGTCGTGAGAATTATTTTATTATGTTTTATTTTTTCTTATTTTATTATTTCCATTCTACGTGACTTTACCGAAAGAACCAAGAAGATGAATCCCTGCAGTCACGAAAGCTTTAAATCGAAATTTAAGTGCATTGTGACTCACCTTGTCTCAGGCAACCATCACAATGCAGCTGGGCACATCTCACCGACTGGTAGCAGCGGCAGATAGCTGCAGACCGGTGTCTCGCCCTACTTGGGACTCATCAGCACAGCGGAGTCACCGTGATGATGAGTCATTGCTCGTCGTTTATAAGAACAGATTGGAATAAACACAAAACTGAACACATTCGCTAATTTTCGATTTAAAGCTTTTGTTACTGCAGGGATTCGTATTCTTGGTTCTTTCGGTAAAGTCACGTAGAAGGGAAGCAATAAAATAATAAAAATATATAACAATACAATTCTCACGACGTTTCGATTGCAACACAAGCAATCATCATCAGGTTATGATCAGTTTTCGATTGCAACACAAGCAATCATCATCAGGTGATAATCAGTTTTCGATTGCAACACAAGCAATCATCATCAGGTGATGATCAGATGATGATGATTGCTTGTGTTGCAATCGAAACGTCGTGAGAATTTTATATTTACTATTTTTACTATTTTATTATTTCCCTTCTACGTGACTTTACAGAAAGAACCAAGAATACAATACATTCGCTAATAACACGCAAGAGTCATCTGCGCTATGAAGAAGGAGGGCCATTGCCCGAAACGTCGCCTGCCTTATAACGTTATCCTATATCAACAGCGTCCTCCGTCCGGTCATTCTCGGCGCGTGAGTGCCGGAGACGTGACAGCAGAGGGCGCAACGGGAGCACAGTGACCCGCGCCGTGGTTCCTCGTGAGAGCCTCCCCCCCCCCCCCTCGGGGGTTCCTCATCGCAAGGTCCCGCGGGTCACTGGCACCTCCTGGTGGCCTTTAGTGCGCCCCCCCCCCCACCCCCGACGAGACACAACGAGTGAGAAGAGCGGTGGAAAGTAAGTGGATGGTGAGTGGTAGGGGTGGTGATAGCCTGGTGGCGGTGAGTGTGTGGTGGTGGTGAGTGAGTGGTAGGGGTGGTGATTGTGGTGGTGAGTGTGTGGTGGTGGCGGTGAGTGTGTGGTGGTGGTGTGTGAGTGGTAGGGGTGGTGAGTGTGTGGCGGTGGTGGTGGTGAGTGTGTGGTGGTGGTGGTGAGAGTGTGGTGTTGAGTGTGTGGTGGTGAGTGGTAGGGGTGGTGATTATGGTGGTAGTGGTGGTGTTGAGTGTGTGGTGATGGTGGTGGTGAAAGTATGGTGGTGGTGAGAGTGTGGTGGTGGTGTGTGAGTGGTAGGGGTGGTGAGTGTGGTGATGGTGTGTGAGTGGTAGGGGTGGTGAGTGTGGTGGTGGTGTATGAGTGGTAGGGGTGGTGAGTGCGTGGTGGTGAGTGCGTGGTAGGGGTAGTGAGTGGTAGGGGTGGTGGTGAGTGAGTGAATGGTGAATGTAAGTCGGTGGTGGCAGTGATATTTCTGTTGAGTCGATGGCGGTGTCTTGTTTCGTGATTCGAGTCGCGACCCCTAATCAAATGGGTCACGGATCCTTTATTTAACTCTCGACGAGGAACTGAGTGGCGAAGCTACCCCACGATTGCCTCGCACTGAATGGCCGCTGATTTGCTGTTGTGCAAGGGTCACTCTCGCCACCTTTATAATTATCTCTGAGTGTCAGCGAATCGCCCTCGTCCGTTCTATCGCTCGTTCACCGTCGATATTCTTGCAGAGGATCGCCCTGCCATGCTGCGCATCGCCGTTGCTTGATCCGCAGACATCGGAGATTAAGGGGCCGTCCCTAAATGACGTCACGCACCTGGGGGGTGGGGGGGGGGTCAGACATTTGTGACGATGTGTGACGAGGGTGGGGAGGGGGTTGAGAAATGTGACGTCACATCAAAATGCGCAACTTTGAATAAATATATAATTGTTATAACAACACTAATTGTTATAACAACACTCCTACAACATCAGAGTGCAGCGCCACATTAAATACGCACTACAATGACAATAGTTAAAAGCGATTTTAAGCATGTTTTATTTTTAAAATGGAAATATGGTTTTGGGGGGGGGCAGAGCTTTGTGACGTCATATTTGAAGGGGGGTCTGACTTTTTTGTGACGCCGTGTGACGAAGGGGGGGGGGTAAAAAATCGTCCAAAATCGCGTGACGTCATTTATGGACGGCCCCTAAGGTAAAGATAATATGATGCGGATGTGATTTACAATTCTGTCTAAACCGCTTTGCTCAAAGCCCTGTCTTTGAGGAGGCTCTGGCTAATATTCTACACGTGAGGGGGGGGGGCAGGTACGGGGGGGGGGGGGAGCACGGAAATCGGTGAGGCATTCATCCGGCAGTGGTTCGATCACGGCTGATGATAGGTGAAGCAGGCAATCTCACCCCCTCCCCCCCATTCGCACATCTGCATCTTCACTGCGAAAAACATTAAAGCATTTATTGCGCGTGCTGTCAAATCCCTTGCCTGGCTGGTAGTTTACCAGCAGCGGTGCAGCGACGCCGACGAGACGCCGAATTTCGGAACAGGTCCATAGTACGGCTGATGAGATTGGTGGCTGAAAACGATCGTGGCGACATTGTTTGGCGACGCTGCCGCATAGTCTGTGGTGCACAAGCACAGACAACAGTGACAGCTCAACACGTTTACACCATTGGTACCTCATTTGCCAGAAGAAAAAATATGATAATTTTTTTTTTACCCTTCTATCTGACAACAAAACTGACACCTTTTTTTACAAGGAGTCATGCATCTGGTCCAACACCATGTGAGACTAGGCTCTAAGGAAAGCTGTCTCGGGTGTGGACCAATCAACTTCAAGGACAGTGCATACATTATCAGAGTTGTGTTTTTTGTTTGCATTATGATTGCAGGTATTGTGGTCAATGAAAACATGACTCCTTGTAAAAAAAATGTCAGTTTTGTTGCCAGATAGAAGGGTAAAAAAACAATTATCAGTTCAACACGTTGTCAAGAGCGAGGCTGGGCCCCACGGTGGGCTCGGAGATGTTAACTACATCGCCTGGTATGCAGGAGGTCGTGGGTTCGATGCCGACCCTGAGGCCTGTGTGTTTGGAGTTTGCGTGTCTCTCGCCCCGTGGTCGTGTAGATTTTTCTCCGGGTCCTCCCGTGTTTCCCTCCACATGCACGTGTTTAGAGTATATCTGGCTGCTGTACATTTCCACACGATGCTGAGCCACTTTGTTGAGAGATCATCTGTGACCAGGTCGCTTCTAAAAAAGGAGCCCTAGAGCTGAGTGGGCGTTACCTGGTCAAATGAAAAGTAGTTCAGTTGAGTTACTGCGGCCTTAACAATTCAAAAAACAAATCCCACGAGACAATGCGGTTTGATTTGCTCTGTCGATCGGATGGTGGACGGTTTTGATGACATACACGCCACGATCTAAGCTCAAATAAAACTCATGAACGATCAACTTGTTCTGTTCCGCGTTGGGTTTGTCGTTTAGTTATTTACTTTAGCGCCTTCCACCTTGGACCACCACCACCATCACCACCATCACCACCATCACCCGCCATCACTACCATCACCACCATCATCACCACCATCACCACCATCACTACCATCACCACCATCACTACCATCACCACTATCACCACGATCGTCGCCATCAATGTTGCTCGACTCCCTTCCCGTGGACGTGGGAGAGGTTACATACCCTGGCTCGCCTGACTAAGGCAGTACAACAATCGAACTAATCTCCCATTTGTTTTTATCCGTCGCGGGGATCGAGTGTTGCTCCGTCGCGCAAGGCGCGCGTGTGTTTTTTTGTCCAGGTGCTTCGCTTCCCCCCCCCCCCACTACCTGTATAATAAACGCACGTCATTGTCAATTGTCCCTTAAACATCTTTACAAAAT